CTAGAAGGTTATTAACCCAATAAACTCAGATTAAATGAAACGCAGAGGACACACAGGAGGGCGTTTCAGAAGAAGCTAGCCGTCCGCAGAGGGCTGCTTCTAAGCATATCTGTAGAAAGTTGAGTGGAAGGAAAAACTGTAGTGGGAAAAAGGAAAAGCAAAGAGATAAATGCAGCCTATCAAGCTAAGCCCATTACAGAGAGTCACAGACCGTTCTAGAACATTCCAGATCCACTTCAAGGGGGTCAATTAAAGGAAACGGTCTAGTCAAAGTTCAGAACTTAATTTGTCAGAGGATTTTTTTAAGGAAAAGTTCGATCATATTCAGAATTCAAACTTTAAATCTGAAATGATTCCATCCTGTTCAATAAATGATCAGTGTTTTTAATTCAGAGTAATTTTCCTGTGAATGTGCTTTACTGGAGGCATCCATGTTTGTCAAAGAACACTACTGCCACCTACTGGTTAGTGACGTCACGGTGCGGTATCGGCTGTTGATCAAGTCCCAGTGCTGTATCTGGTGTTTGTCACAACGCGCTATTATCCAAGTCATCTTGAAAACATTCTTCTTCCAAATGTTGGCTACATATTACGGGTTTTTTCTCTGGCCAGAAGTTCGATGGCAAATCCTAATTTTTTAAGGGGATTTACACTTAATTCAAACCTTTTTTGCTTATTTCTAGACTGTTTTTGCAGTGTAATTCTGTAACCAACAGATCCTCCCTCTGCACTGGAAAATAAATCAAAATACAGATGAGTACATTTTTTCTTAAAATTAGTGCATTTGTTCTTGGATTGAGGAGGTAAAAGAGACATTTTGCCAACGGAACAAGAAAATTTACATTAAAAATAAGACAACACAATTGTATCGTCTTATTTTTAAGTGCTTGTTATCCAATTATCTTATTTTAGGAGTAAAAATACTCATTTAATTGGCAAACTATCTAATTTACCTCCTCAAATTAAGAGTAAATACACTTAATAAAAAAAAAATTACTAATTTGACAGTCCAAAAAACATTCCTGCTACACTGGAAAAAAAGGATCTAGAAAAAAGTAATAATTTCCTAAATTAAGTGTATTTACCCTTAATTTGAGTAGGCAAATGGGATAGTTTGCCAGTGAAATGAGGACTTTTACCACTAAAATAAGATATTTAGATGAAATGCACTTGAAATAATGCAATTGAGTTTTCTTATTTTAAATATAAATTGTTTTGTCCCATTGGCAAAATGTATTTTATCTCCTCAATCCAAAAAAATGCACTAATTTCAAGAAAAAAAGGACTTATTTAGATTTCAATAAAAAGCAAAAGACGTTGGTCACACTGCAAAAAAATTAAGTATCAATAAGTCTTTTTTTTTCTTAGAATGTGTGCATTTTTTTTGAATTAAGGAGGTAAGTGAAACACTTTGCTAATAGAACAGGATCATTTTAATTTAAGGGAACCCGTCCGTGGTGGATCAGGAATCAGAAAGGTGGAATAACTCTTTTTTTCACTTTTACCCGATGTATTCCAGCATCCAGCTGCCATGCACGTGGGCATTGTCAGTTTCACTATAGCTCTGGTGAATTTCAATGGTGAAGTCCTCTGGAAATCTTCAATAATTGTTGTTGATTGCAGATGTGTCTAGTAGTTCCCATTGATTTAGCTTGGAAAGCGGGGAGAATGGCGCTAGGCTTACCGCACCGTGACGTCACTGCTGGAAGATGGCAGGAGGGAGGGGCTACTAGATTTGGGCAAAAATGGCCGCTTTTGGACTCGGTGATTAACTCTAAATTCATTAAATCACAGCGAGCATATTAGTTTTAGGTATAGATGGTCTTCTCCTTTAAAATCTGAGAAGGAACTAGAGTTTTATTTTGAGGCGGTCCTCCATCATCCCGTCAAATCGTCGTCCCTCCTTCAGATCAGCTTTTTGCGATCAACTTCTCATTAACGGTGCTTAAAGTTTGCTAAAGATTCACAGCAGTCCGTTTTATTACAGCCTCTGATGTTTCTGGTTCTGATCAGACGGATAATCTAAAATTAGTTTTTATGATAATATAAAACACACTGGAAAAATACATAAATCTAGATAAGTATTTTTTTAGTAAAATAAGTGCATTTGTTCTTGGGCGGAGGAGGTAAAAGAGACATTTTGCAAATGGAACAAGAGCATTTACAATTGAATTGTCTTATTTCCAGTGTATTTTATTTAATTATGTTATTTTAGGAGTAAAATATTCATCCTATTGGTAAACTATCTCAAATTAAGGGTAAATACTTAAGACGTTTTACTTATTTCTAGATGGTTTTCACAGTGCAGTCTCTCTCATCTAAAGCGAACTCCTCACCCATGGAGGTTGTCCTGCTTGGCTTCAGCACCTGTCCTCCTCGGCTGTGGGCGGGGCAGCTATATTTACCCCTCAGACCTTCTCCTCATAGCTGTTAATACCCCTCAGCCTGCCTGTAAATATGCTGGAGGCTATTTCTGGGCTGAAACCCAACACTGACGGCTGCAGGGCTGATACTCATTTGTTCTTGTCTTTGTGAAATCATTCATTTTTATTATAGTAAACTGAAGCTAAATTTCACAGAAATGCTACAGATCCTCCTGCAGACAGACCCTGCTGAGCTGCGATCCTCACCTTCTGAGGCTCTGAGGCCTGATCTTCAGACTCAGAGACGATGGCTGATTTATTCTGAACCCACAGATTAGTCGCCCCCAGCAGAGCGTCACCCTGACTCACCCGCTTTCCCTCAGCCCGAGGTGTTGGCGTCCTCTCCGGCAGCGGAGGGGAAGTCCCCTCCGTCGCCTCGTCACCGGATTACAGCAGCAGGTGGTGGAGGCCGGTCCATGTGCTTCGCAGTAGGTCATCTGATCAGATTAGCCGCTGACCCGCTGCGCCTGACCGCAGAGAAACATGGATGTGATTCCAGCTCAGACCAAAACCCAGAGGAGAGAAACCCGATAAAACTAATGCAGAACAATTATTCAGATAAAGTTTATTTACTATTTGTTTACAAAATGAGATCAAATTATCATAGAAACTATTATTTCTATAGCGCCAATTCACATCATGTCATCTTAAAGGAAAATCAATTGATTGCATCATTTTGACGCCAAGGCAATCCCTCACACTAAGCATGCTTGTAGCGACAGTGGAGAGGAAAAACTCCCTTTGAACAGGAAGGAACCTCCAGCAGAACCAGGCTCAGTGTGAGCGGCCATCTGCTGAGGCCCACTGGGGTTCAAGGAGACAGAAGCAGACATAGAAAAAGAAGCATAGATACAGAAATAACTTTTATATCTAGATTATTATAAACTACATCAGAAAATGTGTGATTAATAAAGCAGTCAGAGAACAAACTCTGAAAAAGAGTGTTTAAATTAAAACTAATTTTTTAAAAGAATTAAAAACTATACTATAAAGATCAAAGGAGGTCGAAGTTATGAAGAATTAAAACTAATTTGGTGAAAAAAGTGTTTTAATTCCTAGCATTGAATTTGTCTTCAAAAAATTATTTTATTTTTAATTTTTTTTATTCAAATAGAGTCAATTAACAACACATGTCATCTCAAGGCACTTTACAGTTTACCAGATTATTATTATTATCACCATTATTTCATAATTACATTTTAAAAGCTAGTTATATAATATGTTTACGGAAGAGGATTAGGGCCAGTGGGAAAATTTTTTTTTAACTGATTTTAAAATTTTATTTCAGTTCAGTACGGGAAAAAAGTCAGAATTCTGACTTTTTTTATTGTCAGAATTCGGAGATTAAAGTCAGAATTCTGAGATTAAAGTCAGAATTCTGACTTTTTTCCCATACTAAACTGAAATAAAAAAAAATAGTTATTTATTTATTTATTTTTCCAGTGGCCCTAATCCTCTTCCGTATATGCTTTTACATGCACAAGTCATTTTTCTTTTACAAATGGAATTCAATTCAGAAAAAACAAAAAAAATAAATCCCAAAAAGCAAAAGTGAAGTTAGGATTTTCTGTATTTATTTCAAGAAGGCTTAAATTACTAAAAACAGACATGAAATTACTTTTTAAGGCAAACATTTAATAAAAAAATAACATGTTTTTTTAAATGTCTAATTTATGCCCTACGGTTAATAACCTTTAGCAGTTTTCTTTGTTGCGTTTCTCACCTGCTGCTGCTGAAAACCTCCTGAGGTCTGAAACGTACCTGAGCAGAATCAGAGTAACTCAACTCACCTGTGAGGCGATGCTGAGCTCTGATTGGTCAGAGATTCAGGGCTGATCTTTCCTAAACAATCATTAATGAAACTCAAACACTTGCTCTATAAACTCACTTTCCTTCATCTGATTGGCCTCATTCAGCTTTTCTCTCTATTAAACTCCATTTTTTAAATTTTCTGAAAATAGTTGGATTTTAGGAGCAGAAAACAGAACGTGAACTCTGGAAACCTCAGTTTCATCATAACTAAACACTTCAAGCTAAAAGTGGGGCCCAGAAGCCCTGACCTTTGACCTCACATACCATCATGTCCTAATAATATCTGGTCCGACTCTTCTTTGTGACATAATTTACTACAAACTGAGTTAATTGGTTGCTTTTAAGCCCATTTTTAATAGTTTTCCAATTCAGTGCCATTTCTGATTGATTAATTTGTTTTAATCAAATAAATAATCAGTGTTTAGTTTGTATTTTTGTGGTAATTATAAGTCTGGGGCTTTTATAGCTAAAGTTTTGTCTCCATTCTAGATGTTTCTGTCTCTTTCTTTACCTCCAACATCAAATGTCTGCATTTAGTCCAGAAATAACAATATGAAGATGGATGGATGGATGGATGGATGGATGGATGGATGGATGGATGGATGGATGGATGGATGGATGGATGGATGGATGGATGGATGGATGGATGGATGGATGGATGGATGGATGGATGGATGGATGGATGGATGGATGGATGGATGGATGGATGGATGGATGGATGGATGGATGGATGGATGGATGACTCGTGTCCGGTCGCCCCTGCAGGTCCTCCAGAAGCTGGGTAAAGCTGATGAGACTCGGGACGCTGCCTTTGAGGAGCTGGTTGCTAACTTCACCAAGCAGATGGTGAGCTGCTCTTCATCTCGCTCCGCTGCTCCACCTTCATCCCGCCGCTCCTCTTCCTCACTGTCTGTGTTTGCTGTTTCAGAATGAAGGCAGCAAACTGCAGAAAGACCTGAAGAGCTACATGGCAGCGGTCAAAGGTCAGTCTGCTGCAGACAGGAAGCGGTCTGGAGATTCCTCAGCAGATCCAGCAGCCAGTCACAGGTTGCTTTGAATAACGGCGACTCTGTGTTCGTTCCAGCCATGCACGACGCGTCACGGCGGCTGCAGGACTGTCTGGCTGACATGTACGAACCTGACTGGTTTGGAAAGGAGGAGCTGGACGCACTGGTGGAGGTGAGACACCTTTAAAGGAGGTTAGAAAAACTTCCCGCCCAGAGAGGAGCATGGAAGGCGATCTGGAGAAAACGTGTCTGACTTCCCTGCATGTTGATGTTTTCCCTTCTTGGCCGTCTGTGATTGTGAGCTGAGCCTCCGGTTTCTTCCTGCTGATGCTCTCTCTCCTCTAACTGCATGCCTTTCTGTCGCTTCGCTCTGAAGGAGATGATAGAGAAGGAGCTGGACAATAACCTGGAGGTAAAAACCGCTGTAATCTGTTCTGATCGGAATTATGCCGTTGATGGGTCGCCGTTCGTAAAGTTAAGAGGTCAAAAATTAGGAACAACATTTATGGTTATTTAGTGAGAAAAATAAGGGGGCTATTTTTTTTCCTAGTCATTTTTTTATGTCATTCATTTATTTATAAAAATCTTACTATGTTAAATAAATATTTACTTTGGAGCTAAATATTGAGTTTGCAAATTGAATATTTAGTTTGTTAAATAGATATTTAGCTCCAAACTAAATATTTAGTTTAAAAACTAAATATTTAGTTTATTAAATAGATATTTAGGTCCAAGCTAAATATTTAGTTTAAAAACTAAATATTTAGTTTATTAAATAAATATTCACTTTGGAGCTAAATATTGAGTTTTCAAATTAAATATTTAGTTTGTTAAATAGATATTTAGCTCCAAACTAAATATTTAGTTTAAAAACCAAATATTTAGTTTATTAAATAAATATTTAGTTTGTTAAATAGATATTTAGCTCCAAACTAAATATTTAGTTTAAAAACTAAATATTTAGTTTGTTAAATAGATATTTAGCTCCAAACTAAATATTTAGTTTAAAAACCAAATATTTAGTTTATTAAATAAATATTTAGTTTGTTAAATAGATATTTAGCTCCAAACTAAATATTTAGTTTAAAAACTAAATATTTAGTTTATTAAATAGATATTTAGCTCCAAGCTAAATATTTAGTTTAAAAACTAAATATTTAGTTTATTAAATAAATATTCACTTTGGAGCTAAATATTGAGTTTTCAAATTAAATATTTAGTTTGTTAAATAGATATTTAGCTCCAAACTAAATATTTAGTTTAAAAACTAAATATTTAGTTTGTTAAATAGATATTTAGCTCCAAACTAAATATTTAGTTTAAAAACTAAATATTTAGTTTATTAAATAGATATTTAGCTCCAAACTAAAGCATCAGCTAGCTAAATATTTAGCGACTATGCAAATTCCCTTGCCAAAAAGCAGAAGTGAACTACCAAAGTAAAAGCCTGGGAATCTCTATGCTATTTATACTAAATATTTAGCTTGGTTCTAGCTAAATATTTAGTTTGTTAAATAGATATTTAGCTCCAAACTAAATATTTAGTTTAAAAACTAAATATTTAGTTTATTAAATAGATATTTAGCTCCAAGCTAAATATTTAGTTTAAAAACTAAATATTTAGTTTATTAAATAAATATTCACTTTGGAGCTAAATATTGAGTTTTCAAATTAAATATTTAGTTTGTTAAATAGATATTTAGCTCCAAACTAAATATTTAGTTTAAAAACCAAATATTTAGTTTATTAAATAAATATTTAGTTTGTTAAATAGATATTTAGCTCCAAACTAAATATTTAGTTTAAAAACTAAATATTTAGTTTATTAAATAGATATTTAGCTCCAAGCTAAATATTTAGTTTAAAAACTAAATATTTAGTTTATTAAATAAATATTCACTTTGGAGCTAAATATTGAGTTTTCAAATTAAATATTTAGTTTGTTAAATAGATATTTAGCTCCAAACTAAATATTTAGTTTAAAAACCAAATATTTAGTTTAAAAACTAAATATTAAACTAAATATTTAGTTTAAAAACTAAATATTAAACTAAATATTTAGTTTAAAAACTAAATATTTAGTTTGTTAAATAGATATTTAGCTCCAAACTAAATATTTAGTTTAAAAACTAAATATTTAGTTTATTAAATAGATATTTAGCTCCAAACTAAAGCATCAGCTAGCTAAATATTTAGCGACTATGCAAATTCCCTTGCCAAAAAGCAGAAGTGAACTACCAAAGTAAAAGCCTGGGAATCTCTATGCTATTTATACTAAATATTTAGCTTGGTTCTAGCTAAATATTTAGTTTGTTAAATAAATATATAACTTTTAGGTAAATATTTATGTAACAAACTAAATATTTAATTTGCAAACTAAATATTTAACTCCAAACTAAATATTTAACAAAGTAAGACTTTGTTAAATAAAAAAACAAAAACCTTATTTTTCCCTTAAAACACGCTAAACCAATAAGTTTTGCCTACTTTACAAACGGCGGCCCGTATAGAATAAGATGAAGTGACCACATAGACTGTGTCATTATCCCAGAGTTTTCACAGTGTCCGGCATGAGACAATAGTGCCTCAAACAGAAAACTAGTGCAAGGTTACAGCACAACACAGGAAACGACCTTCTACAGGCCCTGAATCAGAGTCCACACCTTTAGGAATAGAGGATCAGTGCAGAAACAGCCTGGCAGAGTGAAAACAGGTTTACCATGAACAAAATGTTTGCCTTTTTCAGGACACGGACACGCTGTGGTTGAGCTTCCATCAGAACCTGACAGACAAATCTCTGCTGTGCATGGACACGTACCTGGCTCAGTTCCCGGAAATCAAGGTGAGTTCCAGAATCAGGTCTGGAAAAGGGACAATGACCACAAAGAGATGCAAAATAATGAAATGTAGACATTTAATGACTTAAAAGAGACACAAGAGGGCAGCAAAGAGGCGTATTATTAACTCCGACAGTAGTAACCATTGAAAATTTCCCTAATTTCCTTTATGGGTCCTTGACCGGACCTTGATGGGTCCTTGGCCGGTCCTTGATTGATCAGTGATTTGTTCTTAGCTAGTCCTTGGCTGGTCCTTGATTGGTCAATGATTTTTCCTTGGCTGGTCCTTAATTGATCCTAGATTGATCATTGATTTGTCCTTGATTGGTCCTTGATTGATCAGTGATTTGTTCTTAGCTAGTCCTTGGCTGGTCCTTGATTGCTCCTTGGCTGGTCCTTGATTGATCAGTGATTGGTCCTTGGCTGGTCCTTGATTGGTCCTTGGCTGGTCCTTGATTGATCAGTGATTTGTCCTTAGCTAGTCCTTGGCTGGTCCTTGATTGGTCCTTGGCTGGTCCTTGATTGATCAGTGATTTGTCCTTAGCTGGTCCTTGCTTGGTCAATGATTTTTTCTTGGCCAGTCCTTGATTGGTCCTTGGCTGGTCCTTGGCAGGTCCTTGATTGCTCCTCTGCTGGTCCTTGCTTGGTCAATGACTTTTCCTTGGCCAGTCCTTGATTGGTCCTTGGCTGGTCCTTGGCAGGTCCTTGATTGCTCCTCTGCTGGTCCTTGCTTGGTCAATGACTTTTCCTTGGCCGGTCCTTAATTGGTCCTTAATTGATCCTAGATTGATCATTGATTTGTCCTTGGCTGGTCCTTGATTGCTCCTTGGCTGGTCCTTGATTGCTCCTTGGCAGGTCCTTGATTGATCAGTGATTTGTCCTTAGCTGGTCCTTGCTTGGTCAATGACTTTTCCTTGGCCGGTCCTTAATTGGTCCTTAATTGATCCTAGATTGATCATTGATTTGTCCTTGGCTGGTCCTTGATTGCTCCTTGGCTTGTCCTTGATTGGTCAATGATTTTTCCTTGGCTGGTCCTTAATTGATCCTAGATTGATCATTGATTTGTCCTTGATTGGTCCTTGATTGATCAGTGATTGGTCCTTGGCTGGTCCTTGATTGGTCCTTAATTGATCCTAGATTGATCATTGATTTGTCCTTAATTGATCATTGATTAATCATTGATTTGTCCTTAATTGATCCTTGATTAATCATTGATTTGTCCTTGGCTGGTCCTTGATGGGTCCTTGGCTGGTCCTTGATTGCTCCTCTGCTGGTCCTTGCTTGGTCAATGATTTTTCCTTGGCCGGTCCTTAATTGGTCCTTAATTGATCCTAGATTGATCATGGATTTGTCCTTGATTAGTCATTGATTTGTCCTTGGCTGGTCCCCTATAATTCCTTTTCAAACATCAATCTTCGTACTAAAATATTCTCTCAGTCATGATTTGTGGACATTAAGATCTCAAGAGAAGCGCCATCTCCTGGTCAGACCCAGTAAATCAGTGAAAGGGTGGAGTCAGAGTAGAAAAATATATAAGAGGGGGTCACTCCAGTGGCTGGAAGTTGGAGGGGATTTTGCTGGGAGTTGCAGGAATGTGAACTGCCATTCTGCTGGCGTCTGACTGGGAACGGCCATTTTAAATGGCTGCTACTGTAGGAGACAGATTCCAGGACATCACAGCAGCAGATAATGACCTTTAGTTTTCTTAAAGACTCACTGCTGGTTTGGTTTTCTGTCCATCTGATGTCAACCAGTCCCGTATAGCCAAGCGAGAGAGGAAGCTGGTGGACTTCGACAGCGCCCGCCACCACTTTGCCTCTTTACAGAAAGGAAAGAAGAAGGATGAAGCCAAGATCGCCAAGGTAAGCAGCAGGAGCAGCGGCTGGTTCCTTTCAGCAGGTCGGGTTTGGATCTGAATGCAAACCAACTGGAAACGTCTGAATTTAAGGCGGGATGGAATTATTGTCAGCTCATGAACAACTGAGGCTGCATTAGTTCAGTCCCACCTTAAATCAGTTGGTTTCAAACGTATCTGATTAAATGTGTGAAAGCAATAAAGCAAAGGTTAACTTACTAATGTACATGTTTGCATTTGTCTTGAATTGTTCTTGTTTGACTCCTGTCCTGCTCCTTGTTTTCTTCGCTCCCGTCTCTTACCGTCCTGCATGGTGTGCCGTGTTAGCCAGCAGCCTTGTTGGAGATGGCCGCTCCCAGCTGGGCTCAGGGTTTGATTTCTGCCCACCAGGTGGCTCAGACTAACCTCTCCTACAACCAGGTGAAGCTCGGGCTCGTCTCTTCATCCTCACTTAGAAAAAGGAAAAAAGGAAACATGGTCTAAAGATCCTGATACTAAGTATTGAAATAATTTGGAGATCCAGTTAAATGATCAATATTGGTTTTGTTTTCATACATTTATTTTCAGATTTCTTTCAATAAATACAAACCTTTACATCTTAGTGCTTAGGACCAGAATTTGGACAAAGAAGACAGGTGGTTTGAAGGGGGCGTGAAGGAAGCCATTTATGTTAAGAAAGAAAAAACAACCTTAAAAGGGGGGGGAGAGAGACTCAGATTTCACCTTTCAAATACCTACAATACAGGAATAGAGTTATCATTGCAACCCCCCCCCCCCCCCCCCCCCCCATACAGGGGACCAGAACATCTGTAACAAATCAACTAAATGACTAAGTGATTAATTCAACTATCACACTTTATCAGACACCGAGTCCAATAAACTGACTAAGAAACAAAGAAACATATCATCTGAGAAACCAAACTAATCATTTAACTGACCGACTGAGCGATCAACTAACTAATCATCCAACCAGCCGACCAACCAGCTAAGCAACTAGCCAGCTAACTAACTAAAACAAAGAAACATTATCTGAGAAACAAACTAATCATTTAACCGACTGACTGAGCGATCAACTAACTAATCATCCAACCAGCCGACCAACCAGCTAAGCAACTAGCGAACTAACTAACTAAAACAAAGAAACATTATCTGAGAAACAAACTAATCATTTAACCGACCGACCGGTCTATCGACTGACCGACTAACTAATTAATTGAGAAACTAGCCAACCAACTATCTAACCAAATAACTAACCAACCAGCTAATAAATTAGCCAACTAACTAACTAAGCAACTAGCTAACTATCTAACTGACTAACTAAAGCCTGATTTATGCTCAGACACCAGGTCGTCTGCGTGTGTGTCACATTTAACGTAGATAAGCCCCGCCCCTTCTGCAGATACTCTCCCAAACTGTAGGTGACCTCAGACAGTGCCGCAGACAGGAGGCCTCTGATTGGTCAAATCTATATCCGCTCTACACTATCCGTATTTCCTGTTTGGTTCCTTACCGGCTTGTTTTGTTTGTATGACCACCATTGGTGAAACGACTGGTGAAGATGGACCAGCTAGAGGAGTGGGGTGCGCGAGAACGCTGGGACCCTTTTTCCACCTGGATCCCGCTCTGTTTGGCCCCCTAATGTCCCTTGGCCGTATCTAGACCCACAGCTAGTTCCTGATTGGCCCTCTGGCGTTGCTGCGTGGAATAACAGCGCAGACCACGCTTCAACATTGAGCATAAATCAAAAATATCTGCAACAAGTTCACTGCGACACGCTGCTGCAGGAGGATAACCAACCCTTAACTAAGCAACTAGACAGCTAACTAACCACCTAACCAGCCAACAGACTTACTAACTAACTAACTAACTAACTTATTGTCTGGATAATTAAAAACCACAAATATAAATGTATGACTTTACTGACTTAACTAAAAGAAAAGCAACTAACCAACTAACTTAAAAGTTTACCTATCAAATACTCTGATAAAACAAACAAAAAACTAAAATATACCAACAAATTGGTGTTAACTGATAAGGAAGCAACTCCCAAACTAACTAACATGTTGACATCAAATTAACTAGCTAACTAACAGATTAACTAACACAAAAATATACATAACAATCTGTTTGCCTGAGTAATAAAGTGACACGATAATAAACATTTGGGTTCTCTGACAGGTTAGCAGCTAACCAGCTAACATAAGCCTTTATAGGGCAAGTTAAAGTTTTTGATGACTTCCATCTCCCAATGGAAGAAGCCTTTTTTATCCTTAAAATAAGATTATTTGATATTATGCACTTCAAATAGGAGACTACTATTTTTTTCCTTATTTTAAATGTAAACTTTCATTTTCCTTTTGCAAAGTGTCTCATTTACCTGCTCAAAATGCACTTATTTTAAGACAAAATTACTTAATTTAGATATTTAAAGTCTTTCACTAAGTGCCATATAATACAGAAGAGGATTAGGGCCACTGCTCAAAAAAAAGGGTTAATGGATTTTTTTTATTTTATATCAGTTTAGTATGGGAAAAAAGTCAGAATTCTGACTTTAATCTCAGAATTATGACTTTTTTCTCAGAATTCTGACTTTTTTCTCAGAATTCTGACTTTTTTTATGAATTCTGACTTTTCTCAGAATTCTGACTTTTTTTCCCTCAGAATTTTGACTTTTTTATGAATTCTGACCTTTTTTTTATAATTCTGACTTTTTTCTCAGAATTCTGACTTTTTTTAATAATTCTGCCTTTTTTCTCAGAATTCTGACTTTTTTTATTAATTCTGACTTTTCTCAGAATTCTGACTTTTTTTCATTAATTCTGACTTTATTTTCAGAATTCTGACTGAATTCTGAGAATAAAAAAAAGTCAGAATTCTGAGATTAAAGTCAGAATTCTGAGAAAAAAAGTCAGAATTTTTAATTTTTTTTCCCCATACTAAACTAAAATAAAATGTAAAAATCAGTTAACTTTTTTTTTTTCCAGTGGCCCTAATCCTCTTCCGTACTATAAAGGGTTAAAGATGAACTAATCTAACTAACTAACCTACAGAAAAAACTAAATAACAATGAGGGGACAAGCTGAACACTTAATCTAATTAACTGAATAACGTGTGAGTTTAGGACTAGTTAATGGACTAACTAAACCACGTTAATGAATAATTGATTTCTGTGTTTCTGGGACTCAGTAGAAGCTGATCTTTTGGTTTCCCCCTGATCTTCTCGTCTCTGCCGTTTAAACCTGCTTTGAGCTGCGTGTCTCTCCTCAGACGGTTCTTTGGGCGTCTGCCTTTATTCACTGTCTGTCTGCGCAGGCGGAGGAGGACCTGGGTCGGGCTCAGAAGATCTTCGAGGAGCTGAATGTGGAGTTACAGGACGAGCTTCCAACTCTTTGGGACAGGTGAGAAACGGACCGGTCCAGATGTTCCCTGCAGCTGTGGGATCCAACCGTAAACAAGGTGTTTGTTTGTGTTTCAGTCGTGTTGGCGTCTATGTTAGCACATTCCAGAGCCTGGCAGGTCATCAGGAGAGCTTCCACAAAGAAATGAGCAAAGTGAGTAAATAAAAAACCCCTGTTCAGTCTGTCGAACTAAAGATGATTTCCTCGGCCGGTAACAGCTGGGTCTCCTCTGAGCAGCTCAGCCAGAACCTGAACGACATCATGACCAAACTGGAGGAACAACGGCAGATCAAGTAAGTTCAGCCTGAAGCTTTAAAGATTCCAGAAAACCTCTGAAAATGAAAGTAATTAACGTCAGATCGCCATCTGGTGCAGAAAAGATGCTACTGCAGCAACAGGGAACGGAGACGGTGCAAAGAGGTAAACTGTGCTGCATGCATGGCTCTCCCTGCTGCATGTCTTTCTGTGCACCATAACAGTCCAGCCTGCAGATCCTCAATCTGATGGATTTTAGTTCATAAATAAACCGAATGATCAAGGTTTCCAGTTTGTTCCTGGATAAATTACTAATAAAGCTCAAGGTGACCTTGGCTGGCTCTCAAGTTGCCCTATGACTGATTTTCAAACAATTAACTTGAAGAGCATGAAGAAAGGTTAGATTTTTAAGCATAGTGGCGCCCTCTTGTGGATGAACACTGATGGTTTTTACCCTTGAATCCTCCTTATCTGAGAGTTTCCTCCTCATCCTTAATGATTAGTTTTTTTTAATGGTATCTTTTTCTCTCTTCCCAGTGAGGAAGCCAACCACAGTGAATCGACTAGCCCTGCACCAAAGGTAAACAGAATAAAAGCAATAAAACACAGAATTTATGATGGAAAACTTTACTGGTTTGAAGTCTCCGAGGTTTTAGACGACAGTCGATTGTTTTTAATTTTATTGTCTAACCAACATGCGTGTTCATTACTGCGTTTGCATGTGTGCACGTTGGATCGCTGCATACCTAACCCGCCTCATGGTGCAGAAGCTCGGACCTCCGCCCAACCGGCCTCCACCCAGACTTACCCCATCTCCAGACCCCAAACAGCAAATCGCTGGCATGTTTGAGGAAGAGGCTTTAGAACCAGATGCTAACACAAACTCCTCCAGCACGACACAAGAGGTCAGGCAGACGCTAAGCTATCCTACCTTAGAACAGATATAGTTTCCTTTTCACTGTTTAGTTAAACCCTGATACCTGCTCTGATGTTCCTAATTTGTCTGTCATTGATCTCATATTTGTAATAGTGGCCAAAGATTTTAAACTTTTTTAATATTTGACTTTTTTTGAGAACACAGTTGTTAAACAGAAGAGACCCAAGGGTTCAACCCAGAGGAACCCCTTTAGTTTAATCTCTAATTAAAAAGTGTTTAAAAGTTTAATTCAATGCAGTTCAGTTCGTTTCTATAGCTCCAATTCACATCATGTCATCTCAGGTCACTTTCCAGTTCACCAGATCATCCAGTCAGATTGATTCAAAGTTTTCTAAGGAAAACCAGCTGATTGCATCGACTCATTGACTCTTCAGCAATCCCTCACACTAAGCATGCTTGTAGCGACAGTGGAGAGGAAAAACTCCCTTTGAACAGGAAGAAACCTCCAGCAGAACCAGGCTCAGTGTGAGCGGCCATCTGCTGAGGCCCACTGGGGTTCAAGGAGACAGAAGCAGACATAGAAAAAGAAGCATAGATACAAAAGGCAACTGTCAACCAGCTCCACAGGCGGCCCCGTCCAGGAAACACACAGCCAGGCAGACGAGCTCCGAGCCAGCTCCCATGTCAGAGGATGAAGAGAGCACATCCAGTTAGTCACAGTCAGAGAAACAGGACTACACTGGAAAACAGGCCAAGCTCCAACATCTAGAAACAAAGGTGTTGATGGCAGCAGCACAGCTGATATTTCTCTCCAGGATGGAGTCACGGCCAAACAGGAACAGACCAGATGAAGCTACTATGAGAAAAAGCAGAGAGAGCAGAACGTTAGAGATTGAACTAACAGATTCTGCAGAGTGGGAGAATAGAGATAGAATGAAGCAGAATGATGAAATGGGGGTCTCTATGTCCTCCAGCAGTCTAAGCCTATAGCAGCAGAACTATAGAGATATCTCAGGATAACTAAAAGATCTGCCTCCCATTCTGCTTTTAGAAATTCTAGGAACCACTAGTAAACCTGCAGATTGAGAGCGAAGTGCTCTGTTAGGAACATAAGGAACAATCAGATCTCTGATATCAGATGGATAATAGCATGTATAGGAGGTAAATGCTAACAAAGATGGCTCTAATGAGCCGTTTGATTTTATTCTATTTATTTATGCTAACAATACGGAGCTGTGTGTGTGTGTGTGTGTGTGTGTGTGTGTAGCAGTGTGAGCCCTGGGCGGGGGTGAACCTGCTGGACTGGGATGTTGAGGTTTTACTTCCTGTTACAATTCCAGTTCCCAAGGTGGGTTTGTGTGACGCTGAGGCCAGTTTAAAAAAAGGAATGTCTTTACATGCATTCTACTCTCTACATAAATTTAAAAAGCCTTTGTTATTTTTAAGTTCTCACATATTTTTAGTTTAAACTTTAATGGTTGATCACCTTTAGATTGCATGTAAACACGACCGGTGTGGTTTTCCGTTTCTCATATCTGAGTTTATTTCACCTCAGTTTGCATGAATAATCTTTGGCTTTTTTAATTTTATTTCTTTCTAGTTATAAAACAGCAGGCTTTGCATGAGATCTTACAAAAATAATACATATACAAATATCTGATGCTTGTGCAAATATCTGATGCTTGTGACCCGGCAATTTAACCACTGTTAAATTGTGAAAAACAAAAACTGCTTTTTGTGACAGAAAATTTAAGAATTTAAGAAAGTCCTTTAATAAAAAAAAACGAACTTGTAATTATTCAAAGAACATTTCCTGGTTCTTGATGATGCAGTAACCAGACAGCCTACAGGACGTTTTTATTGACCACTAAAGCACATAAACAGAGACACACTTATTATAAGTGTTCTGACTGTATTTTAACAAAAGGATTTTTATCAAAAACATAATTAATGTGCACAAATAAGGATTAGTTGTGTTAAAAATACATGTAAACAGACTTTTATGGGCCCCCCCCAGGAACTTGGGGCCCCAGGCAACTGCCTAGTATTGCCTAATGGTAAATCCCGCCCTGGTCCCGGGTCCCTTCCAGTTCCCACAATCACAACTGATGATAATTTAGAAAAAAAAAAAATAATAATTTCAAAAACAAAAAGGTTGAGAGAAACATCTTTAGGTGAATAAATGAACAGACGTGCCGTGAAAAGTCATCCGAAATGGTGTTTGTGTGAATAAATTTGGTCTTTCGTCTTATTCCTCATTGCTTCACGATAGACGCCATCATGGGACGCATCGTGGGTAAGTTTATAAATACTCCTCAGACAACTACACTCTATATCTACCGCTACAAAGAGTTAAATTAACTATCAACTCTATATTTACTCCCTTTGGCTTTTTAAATCCCTCCCTTGTGGTTTTATGCCAACATTAAACTCAAACGCTCCTCTGGTATTTCCTTTCATTCCTCTCCTTGATCTTCCTTATGATCCCAAACACACCTTGCTTTGCTACACAACCCTTGATTTTATAGCAAGATCAGAGCGGCACAGAGCAGCTTTCCCAGCAGGAGGACGATCAGTACCAAGGACAGCCCCAAACGGGCTGGGATTATAGCGACAGCAACTATCAGAGCCGCACTCCGCCCAGCTGGGACAATACGGAGAAGGCTGAGGGTCAGGACACCTGGACTGAAGACCCAGCATACGCAGCTCAGTCGTACTCTGAGCCAAACTGGGATGATGATGGTGATGATGCCTGTGTTGAACAGGGAGATTGGGGCCAGGAGGAGGAGGAGGTAGAGTTATAAAAGTAGAGAAAGTAGAAGACGCCTTTAAAAGAGCCTCAGATTTCCTGTATGACGACCTTAATTCCTTAGACCTTTATTTTTTCTCCACTCTAAAGACTTTTCCATTCCATCGTTTAGCAGAAATGTGTTTGTTTAAAGCATCTGGCTTTTTCTTTCTGCAGAGCTCTGTAACCAATGGCTCCGATGCTGAACTTCCTCCAGGGTTCCTCTACAAGGTAAATCCACCTCATGTTTATCTCCACCAAAGCGAACGGTTATGTCAGATAAGTAATTTCATTGGTTTCTATCCTCCTGACACCCTGCTTTGTAATCCAGGTGAAAGCAGTACATGAATACACAGCCACTGACAACGATGAGCTGGAGCTGAAGGTCGGAGATTCTGTGCTGGTTTTGGCTTTTGACAACCCAGACGAACAGGTTGGTGTCATCTGCATTGAACTTTAGCACCTAGAAAACAGGACCAAAGCCATGTGGTGATGCCAGAAACTCTGCCAGAACTAACCACCAAAGGTTTAGCTTCCTGAATGACTGATTATCAATTAATGACCAACTCTTTACCACAATAGCATGTTAATAAAGTTTTTTTAGTCCCCAAATGTTGTAATAGTTAACAAAGCAACTAAATGACTAAGTAATTAATTCAACTATTACACTAAATGACTCTGTGTCCGATAAACTGTAAAACTGGAATTATTGGCGCTTTAGTGATTGATTATTATATTATATATTTTTTATTTTTCTCTTTTTTTATTATTTTTCTTTTTTGTCTGTTCGTGGACATTAATTGTGTCTAAATAAAGAGATTGATTGATTGATTGAAACGGACTTCAAATTAAGAAACTTATTGTCTGAGAAATCCGATGAATCATTTAACCAATCAACCAGCTAAGCAACTAGCCAATTAACTAACCAACTAACCAGCCAACTGACTGGCTTACTAAATAACTAACTTACTACCTGAATATATAAATACCACAAATATAAATATATGGCTGAACTAACAGCAAAGCAACTAACCAAGTAATTTACAGGGTGACCTATCAAACTAACTAACTAGCCATAACCAAAATGAACCAAAAGAGTTAGTGTTTACCAACAGGGAAGCAACTCTGACATTAACCAACTAACCAACCAACCAACCAAAATGTACAAAAACAGTTGGTGTTTACCAACAGGGAAGCAACTCAGACACTAACTAACCAACCTACCAACCAACTAACTAACTGTAATCGAGATGTACCAAAAAAGTTAGTATTTACCGACAGGGAAGCAACTCTGACATAAACCAACTAACCAACCAACCAACATGTACCAAAACAGTTAGTGTTTACCAACAGGGAAGCAACTCAGACACTAACTAACCAACCTACTAACCAACTAACTAACTGTAACCAAGATGTACCAAAAACAGTTAGTGTTTACCAACAGGGAAGCAACTCAGACACTAACTAACCAATCTACCAACCAACCAACTAACTATAACCAAGATGTACCAAAGAAGTTAGTGTTTACAGACGGGGAATCAACCTGGACACTAATGAACAAAATTAACTAATAAACCAACCAACCAACCAAAACGTACCAAAACAGTTAGTATTTACCGACAGGAGCGGCACTAACATGTTTACATCAAATTAACTAGCTAACTAAGGACCTAACTAATTAATTGGCACAGAACATATACCTAACATGCTGCTTTGCTGAGTAATCAAGTAACACAATAATAAACCTGTGGTTACTGACTAACTAACTAGCTGGTTATAGCTGACAGGCGAGCAGCTATAACCAGCTAACTATGGGGCTTAGAAATGATACAAAAATGTAGCAAACAAAGGAAACTCTGTAGCAGCTCGTATTTTTAAATGTTGGTTCCTGAAGCTGAAATTTAACTGAAGGAAAAAAAAGAAAAAGAAGAAGTTGTATTTAGTCCAAAATTGCCAGTCGATGCTGTGAAACCAGTCAGTCTGATGCTGATTTCCTTTAAATCCTCTGGTTTCCTGTAAATCAAGCCTTTGATGCGATCTGTTGTGTCTGTCTGCAGGATGACGGCTGGCTTCTAGGCGTCAAGGAGTCTCACTGGTTCCAGAAGAAAGATATTTCAGCCAAAGGTGTTTTCCCCGAGAACTTCACTCAGAAGGTTTGATGTGACTGCTGCGCACCGATCCTCGTCCGACTCTCTGATATCGTTTTCATGCAGACCCTGACACCATGATAATGATTAGATCCTGAAATGTGCACTGAAACAGAGCATCCTGTCTGATGAACACAGTGATGGATAACAGTGCCTGTCTGTGCAGTTATGCAATGTTACCAGATGATAAACAACTTGCTTTCCACTGACTTTTTTGGTAATCGTGCAAGCAAAAATAAAAAGGAATGTAAACAAAAAAGCTTGTTGTTTTCGATGTTGTTCTGATGAAGAAAAAAAAGGTAAAAGTTTTCAAATGATTGTTTTAAATGATGCAGTTTCACAGTTAGTGGATTAAACATTAAAAATAAAAAATACGGAAAAGGGCAAAAGGAAATAAAAACCAAAATGAGCCTCTGTGTCACTACGTAGAGAAAGTTTCCAGTTATCTAAAATGTGTTTCATGACACTGAACACTAGAGGGCGACATTCAAACATGGATCCCTTCATAGCCTTTGGGGAAAAGGGAAGCACCTTTCTTTGATTTTTATTAATTTACACATCTTGGTCATGAGAACAGAGCTCAATCCAGATGTCATGTGACCTTTATGGCATGAACACCTCAAACTTCCATTGGTTCAGACTTTCTTCTCGTTTTCAAGAACCATCAATGTTAGCTGGAACGTACAGAAAAGTTTGTTTGCCTCAAATATCTTACCTGTTAAATAGATCTGCATGAAACATTTTCTGGTAACTAATCATAGAGGTATCAATACATAATTTTTTTTATATATATATATATATATATATATATATATATATATAAAAAAACATTAAACACCAAGAATCAGGGGTAAACTAGTTTTAATTGCTTTCTTCATGTTAAATTTGATATTACCCTTCAATATAATATTTAGGAAACTGTCACGGTACATTTCAGTGAATTTCATCATAGAGGAAAACAGCCACTAAAGATATAAAACGAGGCGTGGGATGTAGAAAAAGCCAGGTGTCCTAGAATAAAGCCTTGGAGAACACCATATTTAATAACACTGCTCTAGAAGCGCCTTAGTTTTAACTATGCGATCAAGTAAAAAAGGAGGAGATTGATGGTAATCAACCCAATCTGCACTTTATCGTTATTGGCAAATCCAGGGGCGGATTTAGGAAATTTGGGGCCCTAGGCAAAGACTATTTAATTTAAGTCTCCTTTTACTCCACATAAAAAAAAAATAAAAAAAAAACTTAGTTGAAATTCAGCTCAAGATAATTTTATATAGAAAAAAACATCCTAAAATGGACGAACATCTGCTAGTTGAAATCAATGCAAATAAAGAGAAATGAAGCATGTTATGGGTCCTTATCTTTTACATAAACTGATGACTGAGGTCACAGCAGTCCAACATCAGGGAGTAAACTACTCTTACTGTTTGGTTTTCAGACGCACTGTTTCCATGGAGGCTGAGCTCCATCCTGCAGCACCTGCATAACCTTCAGTGTTTGAATCATAAACTAATCACTGACCATGTGCAAAACACACAGAACCAAGCAGAACACACAAAAGAGACCATCAAGAAATAATTCAACATTTCTTAAATTAAGTGTATTTAGCCTTGATTTCAGTAGGTAAATAAGATTATTTCCCAATGAAATGAAAACTTTTACTCTTAAAATAAGCTAATTAGATAATATGCACCTGGAATAAGAAAATGCAATATTTTTTTCTTATTTTAAGCGTACATTGATTGTCCTGTTCCATTGGCAAAATGTCTTTTTTTTTTTATCTAACCAATCCAAGAACAAATGCACTTATTTTTAAAATAAATCAACTACTTGATTTTTTTGCGGTGCCGTGAGTGGAAAAATATTGTAAATGAGATTTAACTTATGGAAAGGATCCCCTTCTTCCTCCTACTTAAAAAAAAAACATATTCACTAAGAGGTGGGCTAAGTGGGTGAAATGTACAGAATGGGAATTTATTTTGTATTATTTGAATGTTTTGTAGGGTCTTAGGACTAATATATTAATGTATCTCTGATACTTTATTTTTAAAACTGCCTGATGGATGGTTTATTTTTTGCTTTTTCCATGTAGACCCATTTTTCCCAGTTTTTTTCAAAGATGTTAGATTTTATTTAGTTAACATTGTACATTTGCCACGGTGAGGTGGAGGTTTGACAGGATCCAATTTGAAGCTGAGCTGGTTGCAAGTAGGGATGGGTCCAGCACCACCAATGCATTTCGTTTCCAGAAAGTCATGTGACCGATACAGAGGTTGTTTCTAACTGACGGACTCACTAAACTATTTTTAAAAATGTATCTGTCAACATGATGCATCTGCTAAAAAAGAAAAGTTTAATCTTTTGCAGTTTATCATAAAATTTTCAGGAATTTTGGAGCCTAAAAGAAATAGGAACATGTCATCCTTTTCCTCTCAGTTATCTCTCAACTTATCTGAATTAAAGTCAATTTCAAATTGACTCTTAGTTTATTTACTGTTTTTATTGAACTTATTGATTTAAAATAATTATTTAAAATCCAAATCTACAACCACCCTCATTCACATTTTCTCCTACATTTTCCAGTTATGACATATTTTTGTATTATTTATTGGTTGCATCTAAAAATATCAAAGATAGTTCCAATAGATGTGAAATAAAACAATATAACTTCCAATAACTTAAATGATCTCATTGTACTAGGTCATCAAATCAATTCAGTTTAGTCTGTCCAATAAGCTGCCTGTAGTGTCTATAAATGTCCAGCAGGTGTCAGTATTCTGTCAGGCAGAATCAATCCAGTTTGGCTTCAGGATGCCTCATTAACCATCACTACTTGCAAGATTTCATGAACAAAAATGAGTAACAGAAGCAAAAATCTAAAAACAAATCCACAAATACTGAGAACCAGGAATACTCACAAGGGGCCAAAGAAATGACGACGACAAACCAGCAACAGTGACTGAAAAGGAGGAGAATATATGGTGGAGAGAGAGAGACAAAGACCAGGCTAATTAGCAGATTGGGAGCAGGTGTGAACAGAGGAGTCTAGAAGAGAGCTAAGTAAAAGGAGAACACAAGAGGGCAACAGAGGGCAAATTAGAAATACTTAAGAATTCAAATACATCCAGAAAACAGCACAAAATAGGAATAAAACCAATAAACATAGAAAACAAAGGAAAACAGGGATCAAAGGGAAACTGAAAACTCAAAGAGAAAACTTAAACGGAGGCAAAACCGTGACAATATTATGTCTTTAATTTTATACACACAACAAATAATTGTGAGTGGCAGTAACTTTGTAAGTTCCCTATTGTAATGGTCTCACAAAATGGAAAATAAAAAATAATTGTAAAAGATCTCTATGGAGACTGTTGACCCCCGGGGTTTCTTCATATGCGTCTCACAAACACAAATATCCGTCTGTGTGCTCCGTTGCCTGGACATAAATGAGTCTGACTGGCGTGTTCTATGGATTCAGGGTTAATCATTATCTCTGTACAGAATGAAGGCTTATTTATGTGTGGAGGAGCAGGTCTGCACATGTTCTGCTCAGCTCCAGTCTCCTTTAACTACAGTGCACTGAGAGAACTAAGTACCAGAAGCACTGAGAGCAGAACCAGAGCCTCAACATTTGCTCAGTGTTACACCAGCAGTCAAACAATAAATAAGCTTCAAAATTCCATAAACATGATAAAAACAGTTAACAATCAGTGTACCAGCTGGAGTATTTACATTCTCTTAAGTACTCGCCAATTCAATTCAATGATTCAATGTTTACATATAAAGCGCCATGACACGCTACACGTCATCTCAAAGCACTTTATAGAGACAGTTCAACCAGATCTTCCAGTCAGATTGAAGTTTTCTATCTAAGGAAAACCTTCTGATTGCATCGACTGATTGACTCTTCTGCAATCCCTCACACCAAGAATGCTTGTAGTGACAGTGGAGAGGAAAGCAGCGTGAACTAGCAAATTCTGCAGAGTGGGAGAATAGAGATAGAAGGAAGCAGAATGATGAAAAGGGGGACCCTGTGTCCTCCAACAGTCTAAGCCTATAGCAGTATCTCTATAGAGATAGAATGAAGCAGAATGATGAAATAGGGGACCCTATGTCCTCCAGCAGTCTAAGTCTAGAGCAGCATAACTATAGAGATAGAATGAAGCAGAATGATGAAATAGGGGTCCCTATGTCCTCCAGCAGTCTAAGCCTATAGCAGCATAACTATAGAGATAGAATGAAGCAGAATGATGAAATAGGGGTCCCTATGTCCTCCAGCAGTCTAAGCCTATAGCAGCATAACTATAGAGATAGAATGAAGCAGAATGATGAAATAGGGGACCCTATGTCCTCCAGCAGTCTAAGCCTATAGCAGTATCTCTATAGAGATAGAATGAAGTAGAATGATGAAAAAGGGGACCCTATGTCCTCCAGCAGTCTTAGCCTATAGCAGCATAACTATAGAGATAGAATGAAGCAGAATGATGAAAAAGGGGTCCCTATGTCCTCCAGCAGTCTAAGCCTATAGCAGCATCTCTATAGAGATAGAATGAAGTAGAATGATGAAAAAGGGGACCCTATGTCCTCCAGCAGTCTTAGCCTATAGCAGCATAACTATAGAGATAGAATGAAGCAGAATGATGAAAAAGGGGTCCCTATGTCCTCCAGCAGTCTAAGCCTATAGCAGCATCTCTATAGAGATAGCTCAGGATAACCAACAAATATTTTTTACAGAGATCTGCTGAAAATAAAACTACATGATGTACTACCATTTTTTATTTTGCTTTCATCACTTTGATTAAAAATAAAAGAACTTCTGCTCAAAATGTTTCGCTCCTAATGAAAACCTTCCACATTCATTGGTGTTAAACTCTTTGCTGATTTCCAGGAGGAAACATAATCCTTTAATCTCCATGTAAGGTGAGAGCCAAAGAAACTCCTCCTCCGCCATCCGTCCTCCTTATTCAGCCACTAAAGGGCTGGAAGATAAATACTGATTTGAATTTTCAAACGTTTCCAAAGGGAGCAGGTTCTAGTCCTCAGTTTGCAATGCAAATGAATCTTATCAGCAAAGCAGTGATGCAATGAGGCATTCTTCTCAAAGCCAGTTTAGCTCAGATGGATGGAGGAGGCGCCTGATTCTTCTCTCTGTGAGGTTGAAGACACTCAGCTGCAGATATACTGTTTCCCAAAAACTAGCTAAAAGCTAAAGGAATGATATAAACCGGAGACTGATGAGGCAGGTGGGGTGAATGATAG